AAAGATCAGCTTTTTGAAAATTGCTGAAAAATATGAAATTGTGAGTGATCTTGGTGACAGACGACGCAAGGAAAATGTAAAGGCTATGGTTAGACTGCAGTTGTTTGAGAAAGTGGTGCTGGTTGCTAAACACGAGAGATCTGGTGAGCTGCTCTAACCTTTGAGCAGCAAAAGGAATTGCTTTTGTTAGTTGTCTCATGAAAAAAAAAAACAGAAGTTGAAATTAGAGAGATGAGAGGTAATTAGAGAGGATTAGAGTAAGCAAGTGGCAATTGAGCAGTTGTGGCGTGAGACAGAGCAGGCAAGGATAGCATTGTAAACGGATAGGTCGGGATTAGTCAGAGAAGGCAATCTTTCTGGGGATGTCCTGCAAGTAGAGGGAAGTTCATCTTCGCCATCTGGGTCTTCTGATATTGTCAGTAATTTGTGCCTTTTGTGGCTTTTTCTCCATGTTTGAGTGGATCACGCAGGCTAGAAATTGATTAGATTCAGAACAGACTTTGCTGTTGCAGTGTGTCCTGTCCTGCTGTACTGAAGGCCTATGAGTTAGTCCCAGAGGTGTATCGCCAGCGTTTCAGGACATGGAGGAGGAGGAAAAAAAAAAAACTCCACATTCAGCCCCCCCCCGTTACATCTAACATAGATTCTTTTGTTTTTTCATCTTGGGTCCATCCTTTGCATGCAACGATGAATCAACTGAAGGTGAAGATCAGTTTTCAACATCTGCTTCAACTTCAGCTGATGTGGCACCTATGTGAATAGCACAGCAGCCTTTGTATTTTCTCAATTTTCTGTAAAATATTGTAATGAATATAGGATTACAAAAAGGTGTGGCAGGAATTCACTGCCACTAAGTCAGAGCTGTCAAATAATCAGACTGCTCCTTTAGAAAAATACAGTGACAGTCTTTATTTTAACAGACAAATGCATAGTTCATAAAAACGGGGGGCAAGATTACAACCAGGACACCAAAAGGGCTCTCACTATTATCCACTACAACAGTCAAACACGGGGCTAGACTTCTTACCTTAAGGCACACTATTGAACACAGCACGCTGACTGACACCCTCTACTGGAGGCACTGCAAACTACATAGTTCGTAATGCACTGCAACTCGCACCTGACGTCACCACTTGAAGTAAAAACCCTTCGGCTATCCCATTCAGGGATGCCACTTTTTTTTTTTCTTTTTTTTTGGGAAATGTGGAAAAGGTTTACAGACTTCTTTCAGGGTCTCCTCAAAGGTGGGTCATCTTGCAGAACTATGTTAACATCATACTCAAGTCCTGGAGTGAAACTTGATGGGAGAGCCTAGTTAACAGTGTTGAACCCTTACGCTATCAAGCAGACAAGGTGAGAGAAGCTTTGTTAGAAGTCAGAGAAAATGCTAATGACTCCATAGTGGAAGTTGAGGCTCACTCCCTTGCTGAAGAAATCAGATTTTTTTAGATTTCAAATTTGCTGTGTGGTCTAGTATGACGTTCTTTTTTTAAATCAACACCATAAGCAAGCAGTCAGTCAGCCAACATACAGCCTGATGTTGCAGTGGACCTCATTAAGAAAAGCAAAGAAAATGTAGACGGTTACAAGACAACTGGTTTCAAGGATGAACAGGTCTCAGCAAAAGAGATTTGTGAACAAATGAACACTGAGGCAGAGCTGAAGGAGAAGAGATTGCAGCCCACAAAAAGGCACTTTGCCTGCAAAGCAGCCGATGAGACACAAGCAGATGCACTGAAGAGACTGGAAGTATCCTTTTTTTAAAGCTGAAGTAGACTGTAGCATCCAATCTCTGGAAGACCGCTTTCAGTCTCTGGGGGGAGTTAGATACAACTTTGGAGTGCTTGTCAAATTTAGCTAGCTTGATGCACAGACACAGAGGAACCAGTGTAACCTTCTTGGAGACAAACTCACCTGTGGAGAAGAGGCTGATGTGGATGGGTGTGCACTGGCTACAGAGTTGGAGAGCCTTCCAGATCTTCTCCAGGCAAAGAAGACCACATTTGAGCTTCTCACTTTCTTCTCTCAGAATGAGATCTACAAATATTTTTGCGCAGCACCATGTCCCCTACCTGAAAACTGCCTGTTTTGCATATCTTTTATCTGTTTTGAGCAGCACTTATATTATGCTGTACAAGATTGAAAATGGCCTCAGGCACAACCTCCTCATCAAGGCCGTTCTCCATGGTGATGTAAATCTATAAAATATAGTTTTAATAGTTTCATTTATTTTGGGTTGACCCATTATACTGTAAGACTGAGACAAACCTATCTCCATTTTGACTAACTATACAATTTCAAATCATCCTGATGACTATAACAGTAATTGCAAAAATTATATTTTTGTTTGTATAGTCATTGCATAATAAACTTGAATACAGATTACTAATGTTGGTAGAAAGTAAATACTGAACGTTACACTGGCTGCATCCCATCTATTAAAATATAAGGAAGAAAAAAACTAACACTTAACAATATGCTGTCCAGTACACCATCTCCTTTAACCATGACCTCATTAATGAATATCTAAAATAACATATTTTAAACAATGTTAATAATATAAACATATTTTCTTGGCCACAAAATGTTGATATAGTGTTCATATTACTTATTTATCATATAGCATATAATAAACACTGACAGTGATTGTCAACAAGCAAATTTTTTAAATTGTTATTCAAACTGCGAATTAACTGTAATGTTCTACACTAACCCAACCTTGTAATCCTAAAGGAACCTAACTCGGGAGGCGGGCCTCTGTCCCAAACAGGAGGAAGAATTGGGAGAACTTTGTCTTGACACGTTTTTGGTCCTTAGCCGAAACATCACTGCGTCCAGATACATATCCCACGTCTCTGGATACTGGCTTACAAGTTTGCTCAGCGCCCCCAAAAAAGTATGATCACATAAATAGGTAGGCTTAGCGTTAGCATTAATTGTATCAAAAAGATATACACAGTAAAAGTCATATAATTACAGAGCTGCTATCTCTGCATTGATCCATTTTGTTTTTCAATGAGTTTTCAATGAGTCCATTTGTCTGTGGATGATACGGTGAACAAAGGCTGACAAAGTCTCAATCCTCAGACTTTTGCACATTCCTTGTTTAGATTTGGAAACACAAGCACATTATCCTTTGTTTCAAACAAAAAACTTTTAATGCTCCATTACAAATGCAAAGAAATATGAGATTGTGAGATCATTTCACAAACATTTAAACACAGTCTCAAAATACATTTACAATTATATAGCAACATGCTGTGACATTTAACAAACTTCATTCACAAATTCTTGTCCCTGGTCGGTGAGGATCCTTTTTGGGGCACCGAAATGATAAAGAAACTTCACCATACAGTCTGCCACATGCGCAGCTGTTTTACAAGGTAGGGCAAATGCCTCTGACCAAATAGTCCATTATCACACATATATACATATTGCCTGCCTCTGTTTCTGCCACTTTGCCAATGAGGTCCATCCCCCAAACTTCAAATGCTTGGCTCACCTTAACAAAGGAGAGCGAATACAGTATTCACTTTGAATTACTATTAAGCATTCTCCACCACAAAACATAAACTTCAAAGAGTAAAGAAAAACAGGGGGGTGAGGGTGGTTCTATCCTGTGTGCGCTGGAAGGCCGAATATTCAGGACAAATTTGTATGTTTAGCAGGCTGAATCTCAGAGAAAAAGAGGGACTAAAAGACCAAAATGACTGCTAAGTTTGATTTGATTTTTTGTTGTCTTGTTTCTATTTTGCCTTGATTCTGACCATTTTAAGTTTTGAATAGTTTTGATTTTCCATGTCTTAATCTGTAATATGCTGGTTTTTAATTGAGCTGTATTGTATTGTGCAAGGTAAGTAGACAAGTCAGCAGTATACAGCTCCCCAGCCTGCTGCAGTACAAAGGACCGGTTCAGTTCACCACTCTTCGCCACGTCGTTCCGTCACATCAAGTGGTATAAAGGCTACGGCCAAACACTGTTGCAAACTTGTTGCTCTGTGTTTGTCTTTTTTGGTAATACTGTTGGTTTCCCAGTACTCCAGAGTGTGTGTGTGTGTCTGTGTGTGTGTGTGTGTGTGTGTGGGCACGTGTGTGTGTGTGAGTCATGGTGTTCACGCTGCTCTCCCGGAGAGCAGAGAGAGCAGGTCAGAGGACAGAGAAGCAGTGTGACCATGGATGATTTAGAAAATAAATATATGGTGATTAATAGTGACTGGTCGCCACAAATAAATCAATGTAAGTATGAGAACGTAAAATATTGACGTTGACGCGTTCATAGTTGACGTCGTAGATTATGACGACTAATCGCTGAAACCCTATTTGATTTTGATAAAAAATCAAACAAACCAAAACAAACACCAAAGAGATATATTGATTTTCTTGAAGAAAAAAAAAGAATATTCGGTAACACCGTAATTTCGTTGTATGAATCAGGTAGCAATAAACTACTGACCAGCTCCTACTGATAGGCCTATTTAACATATATTGTGGGCTCGAAAGAACTGCGAGTTGTTTAGAGCTACTTCTGACACACAAGGAGAAATGAAATAAAGGGGATGAAAAGATAGTCCTGTAGCCACAGACAACTACTTGAATGAGCATGTGAATTCCTCAGGTGACTCTAATGTGTCTAATGTGAATAGCAGCCAGCGAAAACTTTCGTCACCACTCTCAAATGCTTTTCATACAGTGAATCACAAGTTTAATTGATAAGTGCGGTGGGGCGGTAGTGCATTAAGGCAAGGCAATCGACACACTGTAGGCTACCCCTTCCAACACCCGCCCAACCCCCACCCCCCACCAGATGAAAGGAGGGACAGAGAGAGGACAGAGAGAGAGCGAGGGAGAGAGAGAGCCGCTGTAATCCTCTCACTATAAACCCGAGCCACAGAGTGCAGCAGCCTTAGTGTGAAGGATGGGAGATGAAACACTGCCGTTGTCCTCCGCTCTGATAATAACAGATGGAGCATCCTACGGTCTGAACAGCACAACCCAGCAGGATGACAAGTCCTCTCGGCCTCTGCTTCCTTCTCCTCTGTGCTTACAAACTCAGTCTGACAGCTGGTAAGTGGGCATGACCCTCAACAAGCAGCATCTCCAGGAGATATAAGCAATGTCTGAATGAGGTGTTGCTCTAAATGCTCTAAAAAGCTTTATGGAATGATTACAAATTGTTTGTGGTGTTTTGTGATTTGTTGTTTGTGTGATATTGTTGATGTTTGCCTTATGACTATCACTGACCTTTTCAGGGTTTCAGAAATATCTTGCTAAGATCGAGATTATTGGAATGTGGTTCATGTTTTGAGTTTAAATTTGTTGTCAAATATCTTGCATTTGTCCAAACTCCCAGGCTTCCTTTGGTTTCAAATCAACTTGCAGAGACTTGAAACTTCCTTGAGTTGGGTAATCAATCACAGTGAACACGGTGAATGTCTGGTTACTAGCCGTAACAGCATTGTGGTTAGAATTGTTTTCACTTTGTGAGTCTGTGTGTGAGTCATGTATGTCATCATTGAAAATTTGGGCCTGGAGAAACCTACTGTAGTGAGAACTACAACAGTAGCTGTTTTGAGAACTTTGCCGAGTGTTTTTATGTCTTTCTGTCTGTCTGCCTCTCTGTCTGTGGACAGATTTTCTCAGAGCTATAGCATCAAAACCAGCATGATGCAGTCACTAAGCTATACAGGTGTGTAGTTGAGATCAAAATGTAGGACAAGAACCTGGCAGTGGTCCGACCCATGAGTGCTGAGTAGTACTCATGGTGTAATGATGTATGAATGCTCATGTCATAATATAATAATATCTACATTATTACATGAGTACTCATGGCTCAGACTCATTGCTGGGAATGTCAGCATGTTGACGGAGGTCATGGCTCGTGTGATTTCAGACTTTTCAAAATTGTATTACTTCAAATGATAAGTGTGTCACAGTCAGAGATGGACAAAGTACACAACCTCCTTACTTGAGTTACAGTATAGATCCCCCTGGTCAAATATGACTCCCATACAAGTGAAAGTTGTATTTTCTTTATTTTTATGTCAACACATTGTTTTAGTATTCCACAGTGTATTTACAGAACTGAATGACTCTGAAACAATCTACTAAATACACCGAGTTACTTGTAGAACCTGTAGAATAAAAGCTTGTAGAATATTCAAAGCCTGCAGAAATGGCCATAAAAACACAGCTATTGTTTTTGTATTTTTTTTAGTCAGTATAAAGTCTGGTAATTTATTTACTAAAGCTTCAAACACAGACCTCAGATCAGAGCATGGTCTCTGGTGAAGAATCTTCTGCCTCATCTTTATCTAACGTCGCCATGGTTAAGACACTGACAGGTTCAAACATGACTGACATTGGAGGGGGTGACTGTGTTTGGTTTTTCTCCTGTGATCAACACAGTGGATGATCTATCACATTTTCAAAATAAAATTCATTCACTGACTGAAAAGCTCTGCTTCAAAGTAAGAGTCTTTCATAGAAATGTAGTGGAGTCAAAAGTAAAATATTTGCTTCCAAAAAAGTTTCCAAAAAATATATATAATATAAAAAAAAAAATATATAGAAGTACAGTATTTCAGTAAAAGTACTTGACAACTGTCCACACCTGGTCATGGTAAAAGCAGACATGATCCACACTGATGGATTGTGTAACTGAAGCAAGTTGTAAGTCTCTGCCACTGGATCTTCTTAATGCAAGACTGGATTACCACACAAAATGGACAACAACTCTGAGGCCCAGACCCCCAGACGCTATAACAGCTCCAGGTTCACTGTGTGACTATTTATTTATTTTATTTATTTATTTTTTTTTTTTTCGTAATTTGATTAATTTTGAATTTGTGGTTTTCTCTTATAGAAGGGCCTTGTCTGATAATCTTAAAACATTTATAATTTCATTTTGTGCTAGGGGTCACAGTCTTAAATAAATACATCCAGCAACAACGTTCAGTGCCAATACAGGAAGTAGTGTGTCTCTTATGAAGAAAGACAAAGTGTGGATGTCGGGAAGACGGATGAATTTCTAACAAGTCGGACTTTAAAGGAGGATGACATCCTTTAAAAGACCTATATTTAACCTTTCCTGTTGCCTAACCTAATATTAACCAAATGCAATTTATTTGTCATATCTACAATCTTTCCATAAACTTAACCATTTGCCAGTGTCGTAGGGAATGAGAGCAGAGCTACAAAGTTTTGCCCCAGGGCCCTCTAGCAGATTAATCTGGCCATGATGAAATTAATGATTAATGATAGTGTTAATAACAAGTGGTTGCCTGGCAGCTAAGAAAACATAGAACTGAAAATAGTTTCATCTGCTTTGGAAAGTTTCCAATAACAAAAACATACAAGAACATACAATTATATTGCTGTGTCACTATAAATCCAGCAGCTGCAATCAAAGAAGCACTAGAGAGGGGGCCATGGCTCAGGTGATTGAGCAAGTTAGCCGCTGATCCCTGGGTTGTTGGTTTGAATCCAGAGGCTACTGTACTTCTGTACAACCTCAGGTTTAACTCTATTTTCCACCTTTAAAACCTTACTCAGTCTTACTCAATCCTCCACCACCCCCACCAGACACAAATCTCTCAGCTGCTATTTTTGCCTCCTTTACTGAAAAGATGGTGGTCATCATGCCCTTCTCTGCCTCTTCCAGTCAGTACCTCTCCCACCCTCTTCACTCAGTGGTCTAGCTGCAAGCAAGGCTCCAAAAAATGTAACATGTAGTGGTCCTACCACATGTCCAGGTCTCCTTTAGGCAAAGGACACAAGTTTTTTCTCATTCAGCTCTCTCACTGAGAACGATGGGTCAAAACTTAGACCAGTAGCCGTCCTACTACATGTGCACTGGATCCCATTCCCACAAACCTCCTCCAAACCATATTTTGTGCTAGCAGTCACGTGTGATAAATACTTCACTGGCTTTGCATGGCTTCTCATTTCACTGCTATGCTGATGACAACTATACCTTTCATTCCCACCACAAGACCTCACTGTCTCTGAGCGGATCTTGGCCTGTCTCTCTGACATATCCACATGGATGAAGGAACGCCACCTTCAACTTAACCTCTCTAAGACTGAACTCCTTGTCATCCTGGCAAATCAGTCTCTTCATCATATTAATATCAATATCTCCTTTTCATCTCTTACCCCAACTAAGGTCTAGAGAAACCTGGGTGTCATGTTTGATGACCAGCTCTCCTTCTCTGACCATGTTTCATCCTTCTCCCAGTTTTGTGTCATTGCTCTATGCAACATCAGACAAATCAGGTCTTACCTGACTCACTACTCCACCCAGCTCTTGGTCCAGGCCATCTCTCACCTCAACTACTGCAATGCTTTTCTGGCAGGCCTCCTTTCACTCCCAGTGAAAGCCTTGCAGATGGTCCAGAATGCAGCTGCCTGTCTGGTTTTGATCAGCCCAAAAGGGCACATGTCACTCCACTACTCATCGACCTCCATTGGCTACCACTGGTCACATGAATTAAATTCACTAAGTCACTAATGCTGCCTTCAGAGTGACTTCTGGGTCTGCACCATCTACTTCAGTTCAGTCATTCAGCCTTATGCTAGTTTTCAGCCACTGTATTCCTCCAATGAATGTCGACTGGCATCACCATCCCTGCACACAAGACATTCTCAGTCCAGACTGTTCTGGTCTGTGGTTCTCTGATGGTGGAACAAGGTACCAAAGTCTATCAGAGCAGGACGTCCCTCTCTATCTTCAAGAACCTGTTGAAGACTCCTCTCTTCAGAGAGCACCTCCTCTCCTTAAACCCTAACATGCCTAACTAGCACTTACTATGCACTTTCAGTGCACTTCTTTATTTGATTTACTTGCACTTATTAAATAGATGTAGTACTTAATATTTACACTACGGTTTCCTACTGCACTGAACCTTACTGATATCCTTCACTTGTCAGTCACTTTGGATAAAAGCAGCTGCCAAATAATTAAATGTAAATATAAATGTACTCTAACTCTGGGTTTTCAGGGTAACAACGGTGGTTCATTTCTTCCTAAGGTAAATCACTATGTGACCAAGTGAAAAATAATAAAGAGCAACAGATGTTTTTACAGATCAGTCGAATCGTTTTGCTTTTTGAGGCTTCCATGTGTCCACTCTGGTTTTAAAACAGAGCTTCTAAGTAATCACTAAATTACTACATGATAACTATTATAGCTTCATTTTAAATGAAACACAGAATTATTAGAAAAATGATCCTCACACTGTTAAATATCTTCCATGATCATAAATGAACATTTCAGTTAGATTGACCTCATCAGACATTAACTACTTCTCCTCTCTCTGCTTTTTTTTCTCCGCATCACATGTTCATAATAAAAACAACCTGTACAAACTGGTCAGCAAACTGCAGACACGTAGACCAAATACCTTTCTCTTTCTCTGTCTATGACTTTAATAATTGGAAATTATTTCTCTCGTTTCTTTTCTATTTTAGCTATGAAATTATATTTCAGGAATCACATTTCACCTTGTTGAATATCACTTTGGATATCACTGTGACCAAGCTTAAGTGCTTGATTCACGTTTCTGACAATGTTGCTTATAAATCAGGTATCAGAAGGAGTCGCTGAATGGTTACAGCACATGCCACACAAGTATAACGTCCATAGTTCAATTCTGGCTGTGGACCTTTGTTGCATGTCATACCCCTTTTCTCTCTCTCCATGTTTTCTGTCTGCCTCTTTACTGTTGACTCTCAAATAAAGGCAAAAAAATGATAGTTTAAAAAAAAAGATGGCAACAGAAAAAAAGTCACAAGTTCCAAGTGTTGTTGAAATGGTAGTGATTAAATGTGACAGCAATGATTAAATACAACTTTGCTGTTGTCATTACATCATGGCCTCCAGAGGCACCTTACTTTTAATTTTATTTCACTGCAACTCAAATTTAACTGTTTAATCAACATTAATCCACATTATTTGCTCCAGTTGATTTTCAGTTGGGGATGTTTTGTCATTTTCCCCACCCTTTTAAACACATAATGACTCTATTTTAATTTTAATTGCATAATCTTTTAAAATCCCCATGCTT